CAGTTTGCAAGAGAGCGCGGTGCGAGGAACATGGAACCACATCCCTGAAGATGGAACGTGCAAGTGTTCCGAAACGTTGGCGAACTAGTCAAGTCATCCAAGTGGGAGTAACCTCAAGTCATGTAAATAGTATATTTATATATTTAGTTGAATTAATGAACAATAAGCTCAACAACAAAAAATTGGGTTGCCCCTGAATCAGTTCCGGATAGACAACCTAAATTCAAATCACGACGGCATACACGCCGTGTGTTGGACGGCGGTGGCGCAGAGAGAGATCACTAGGAATAAGAAAAAAGAATCAGTCTATACGAAGGGAAAAAGGACGATACAGTTTAATCATGGAGCCTGTGGTCGGTTCGGTCTGGTGCAATGACCCCAGGGTGCAAATACAATTGTGGGAACACTTATAACTAACTCAAATTCATCAGACGGTGAGCCGTTGGTGGATGGGTTGACGGGTGATCTGCCGATTGACTCTAGTTTTAGATGACCTAGGCGGCCTCCCACACAACACTTTGTTGTTGGCGGACTTACGCGGAAAATCTGGGGACGAACTGTTCCAAATCGACTCCGGAGATTAAATGGCGTTCATCCGATGAATTGCGATCGGCGTTTTAGTGAACAAAAGCCGACCGAATTGAATTATAGATTATGGAACTTACTCGAACACAATACGGATGATGTACATCGACTGACATGTGGATTGACCAGTACGGAATGGCACGAGAGAACGAGGAAAAAACAAAATAACAGAATAATGCCACAATGGCCAAACACAAAAAACAACAAAAAAGAGGCTAGGTACCTGCCAATAAAAACTAATTCGTTTTGATCTAGAAAAATAAAATCGTATTAAATATATAAGTAATAAAATGAACTTTGCCTGTATAAGTTTACGTATCGATTAAATAATAGTGTTTGTTGACTAAATTTAGGAATAAATTCGTCCTGTATAACGAAATATGTTTTAAATACAGGACAAAACTAAATAAAATATATAATAGATTTTGTGAGACTTATTTTCCCATTTTGATAAACGTCAAAAAAGCCAGTATACAGTAGTGTCGAAACATAGAGAGGACGGCGGAAGTCGTAATACTAAAAAAATGATTATAACTAAAAGTGATAAATCCACTTTCAAATAAACTCTTTGATTGGAATTTGTGAACATTGGACCTTACTTTGGTACTCATTTACTATGCTAGTTTATAGGTTATAAAATACTGTGCTTAGTGTGGACTGAGCTATATTACTAAATACAGTTGAGCCAGTACGCCATCATTCTTGCACAATTGACTTTGGTCAAGTTAGGTATCACGGAACACGAAAAAGTAGATAGCTGGGTAATAGCAAATTATTCAATAATTCCTCCTTATAAAACTATTGTTTTCATCTAAATTAATTGTCACATTGATATTATTGAAAACTGTATATCCTACGCAAATGATAGCATTTAAGCTAAAAACCATCGAATCGACCACAGAAACATATATACTTATATTATTGTAATAATGCAATATCTTCTCAGTTCAGATTGTAGATGACTTTTTTTAAATACTGTTTGATATCTATAAATTACAAGGGCGTTTGAATTAAAAAAACAAGCAAGTCGTTGGGTTTAAATCATTCTAGCATGTGTTTCAATAAATAAATAAATTAAAACAAATTTTAAGTAACTTTTTGAGCTCTGTATTCTTTAGTTGAGATATTTGATCGAATTGTGCTATTGTGTTTATTTTGATATCTATCATAATGCATTGGCAAATGTCGATTTTAATACTAGTTTGGGTTGCTTTATTTTGTTCTACACGTTGTGTCGGTAAGATGAGCGAAACACAAAAATTTGAACTTGCTTATAAGTTAAACATGTTGGTGCATCATTCGGGATGGCGATACATGGACGACGTTAAAATCTCAAAGAAATTTCGCAGTGATTTCACGAATCCTATTTCCATAATACTTGAAGCCATATCGTTGAACCGGAATCCGATCGACGAATTCAACGTCCTGGAAAGACATAAGGAAATCACGACGGTGCTCAGTTGTAAGTACAGCGAGATTATTTTTAATTCGAAGCTTCTCATAAATAATTTTATATGGGTTTGCCAAAACGAAAAAACTGCGTCCGACTCGTTTCAAAAGTATTACGATTGTTTTAATTTGCTGTTGATCAAACTCCACAGCATGTCATCGAGGTTTAAATGCATGGCGGATGCGTTGAGCTTTATTTCCTCGCTAGTTCCACAATCAAACTCTAAGCATGTTGTAATGGACGTCGTGGAAGAACTGACCGAGTATACATTAACTTTAGGACCGACAACCTCGACCAAATTGTCCGAACAAGGTACCAGCGTGGACGTGGTTAATCTCGAAATAAAAAACATCAACAAATATTTCTTGGAAGTATATAACAAGAAAATTACTGGGTTTATCTACAATTATTGCAACTTTCCGAAAAACCGAAAATGGAGTGCATACAAATTTAGGAATGATTTCATTAAGGCAAGGAGCACCCATCTTATACCTCTGGAAACTACTGTATTGCAATATGTCGTAGACGAAATCGATTCCTGTGGTAATGAGATCATTGGCAAATGGTTCAATGATTTGGGCTTTAAATACGGCGTGGAGGGAAAAATTGAAATCGGGACTAATTAAAATATTATTATTAGTACTAAAATAAGAAATAGCAATGTAGATTAATCGTCGTCTTATTATGTATGCCCGACTTATATAGACTTTTTTGTTTAAACAGTTATGTATTTACAATTAGATATTTAACCAAATGTATCAACATAGACGTACACGTAGACTAAAATAAATTAAGTAAACAGTAACGAAATTTCAAAAAAAATCACGTCACACGTTTTTGGGAAATATTAATAAACACAACAAAGTTTTTTATTTCTAAGATAATATCCACTGTTAAAAAAATATTTTTTTATGGATATAATAAATCATTATGCATCTAGTACTTATTTTTTCCCTTCTTCTTCTTTAATCACATGTACTTATTTTGAAATGGTTTTTGACATTTGTATGTCTATGCTATGGCACACACACACGGAAAAACGACACCGCTTATCATAACTAAAAAACCGACACCGGTTATCATAACGAAAAATAACAGCTGATTTATCTGATAAGAGAGACAAGAGATAAGGGAAGGTGATATGGGGTGAGAGATAGGTTTGAGGGATAGGGGGTGAGAGTTAGGGGATAAGAGATAGGGGTACACATGAGGGTTGGGGTTGGGGGTCGGAATGTGGTGGGGGCAAATATGTTATATTCACTACGTTCAAAATAGAAATGAATAGTTAATTCAATAATTTAAGTGGCCAAATTCTTCATGAATTGTTTTGGACCAGATATTATAAAAAGACTAAAATATTAGCCAGAAACTTGATAAATTTACTAGCCACCTTAGATACATAAAAATGTATCCCGTGGTGTTGCGGACTCGTACGCAAGCTGTTAAAATATAATATGTAATACCTTTGTGAAAACCTTTAATAGAACCTAGCAAACCATTCTTTTTTTTTTTTTTATTTAATATACCAGTGATAATTTAAACAAACAAACAATTGTTTTGTTTAACTTTTTAAGACCTACTTCAGAGACTAATGCTCCTTTATTATGCCCTTAAATCTACTAAAAATGTATACATTTTATAAATTTTTTATTTGTTCGTTTTGTTTGTTATGTTTGTATTGCTTGTTTTATTAGTGATAATAACTTTTAAAGACCAACTTCCGAGACTAATGCTCCTTTATTATGCCCTATAATGTACTAAAAATGTTTACATTTTATAAATTTTTTATTTGTTTGTTATGTTTGAATTGCTTGTTTGTTTTATTAGTGATAATAACTTTTAAAGACCAACTTCAGAGACTAATGCTCCTTTTTATGCCCTATAACCTACTAAAAAAGTATTATATTTATTAATATTTAATTTAATTGTTTTTTTTGTTTTGTTCGTTTTATTATTTTTTTTGTTTTAATAGTGACAATAGTGATATTAGCGCGAAAATCTACTAAAATTTTATTAATTTTGAATTTGTTTTATTATTTTATTTGTTATATTTGTTTGTTATGTTGGATTTGTTAGTTTAGTTTTATTTGTTTTGTTTGTTAGTCAGTAAAAACTAAATAACTTGAGATCAAGTTTCCTAACGTTGTTTGGGAACATAATAAAAAAAAATATTTAATTTCTTATTAAGCCCTTCGAGATATTGAGTGGTGCTCGATAAAATAATCATTCTTATATACAGGTTGTTCAAAAAGTTCGAAAACGAGCAATTTTTAGATATTCAATATACATAATACGTCATACAAAATTTTAATTAATGTTTATGTGTCAAGCAGGTCCCTAGTTTATTGCCTTATTCCTAGAAGGCTAATACTAGGAATAAGTGAGACATAGGATAGTTTTTTAATTAGTGGGTTGGAATGGGAGTGTTTTAGAATTCTTATTTTCCAACGGTTTGCCTATAAATTAATCATATTGAGATAGTTTTGGAGTAGTATAATAGGTAAAACTTAAATTCAATTTAAAATGTATACACAATACAATTGTACAGAAATTGAAATGTTGAAAATTGTTATAAAAAAAAGTAATATTGGAAGATCTTCTAAAATATTAGCTAGTAAGACAGCTAGTTAAGTTGCCGTAAAGAAGTATATATATTCTCAGTTCATCTGAACTAAATTACTTTTTTTTTATAATAATGTTTGACATCAATAAATTACAATGGCGTTTTAATTAAACAACAAGCCAGTCGTTGCGTGTAGATCATTTCTAGCATGTGTTTCAATAAATAAATTAATTAAAAGGAATTTTAAGTAAATTTTAAAAATCTGTATTTTTTAGTTGAAATTTTTCATCGAATACTGTTCATACTGTTTTTTTTAACGCGATCATAATGCATTTTCAAACGATGATTTCATTACTAGTTTGGGTTGCTTTACTTTATTCTATGCACATTGTGTCGGCTACGATGAACGAAGAACAACAATCTGAACTCGCTAATAAATTAAACATGTTGGTGCAACATTCGGGATGGCGGTACATGGACGACGTTAAAATCGCAGTAACATATCGAGGTGAAATCATAAATCCCATTTCTGAAATACTCGAAGCAATATCTTTAAAACGGAAGCCAGTTGACGAATTCAACGTCCTGGATCGACACGAGGAGATTTGGACTGTGCTCAGTTGTAAGTACGGCGAGATTATTTTTAATTCGAAGCTTTTCATAAATGATTTCATATGGGTTTGCCAAAACGAAAAAACTGCGTCCGACTCGTTTCAAAAGTATTACGATTGTTTTAATTTGCTGTTGATCAAACTCCACAGCATGTCACCGAGGTTCAAATGCATGATGGACGCGTTGAGCTTTTTTTCCTCACTAGATCCACAATCAAGCTCTAAGCGTATTGTAATGGACACCGTGAACCAATTGACCGAGTATACATTAACATTAGGACCGACAATTTCGACAAAATTGTCCGAACAAGGCACCAGCGTGGACGTAGTTGATCTCGAAATAAAAAACATTAGCAAATATTTCTCGAATGTATATAACAAGAACATACCTGCATTTATCTACAATTATTGCGACTTTCCGAAAAACAAACAATGGCGTATAAACGAATTTATAAATAATTTTTCGAAGGCAAAGAGCTACCAGCTTATACCGCCGGAAACTACTATGTTGCAATATGCCGTAGACGAAATTGATTCTTACGGTAATGAGATTATTGGCAAATGGTTTAACGATTTGGGATTCTCATACGGTGTGGAGGGAAAAATTAAAATCGGGACTAATTAAAATATTATTATTAGTAACAAAATATGAAATAACAGCGTAGAATAATCATCATCTTATTATGTATATCCGACTCCTATAGACTTTTTTGTTTAAACAGTTATGTACTTACAACTTCATATCAAACCAATTGTGTCAACGTGGCTTTTTATTTTACAACCTGTAACGTGTACTCGTAGCCTAAAATATTTTAAGTAAACAGTAATGAAATATAAAAAAACACTTCAGACGTTTTTGGGAAATAATTATAAAAAGTTTTGTATTTCTGAAATAATATTCGCTGTTAAAAAAATTTGTTTGTTTTAATTAACGAATAATTACACATCAATAAAAAACATAATTTAATGTCAATAAGCATTAAATTAATTGTACTATTATTATAATATGTATATTATTAGACTATTTTTTACTGCTTAGTTCTATTTTATAACCTTTGTCATATATAATATGCAATACTCAAATATTCAGAGTTGAAAACTTACAGCAGCTGATAAAGAAACTATATTATGCCTAATTCGTAATACTTTTAGCTACGATGCGGAGCAGCGATGCTATTGGTTAACAATGATGTGGGGTTCTCTTTGTCTGTATACACTGTAATTTTTCAATACTAAACCAATTCCTTCGAATAATACATAACTCTAGAAATCATAATTTTCATCTAAGAGGTACCTGGGAGGGAGGGGGGTTAAAAGTTAAAAAAAAAACCTTACTATTTAAATTTTGAAATTTTACTGGCTATAATTTTGAGAAAAAGAGTCGGATCGAGTTGTTGATAAGTTTATTAGGAATTTTTATTTGGTATGATTTTTAACATCATTAACGGTTTACCAGATATGAGAAACATAAAAATCAGTGTTATTTTGTTCTATTGGCATCATCGTGTACCCGAGCGCCATGTTCTCACACACTCTTATTGGCTACGAAATAAAATCATTTGATACAATAGATGATATATTGTTTCACGTATTATTTTTAAATATCGTTTGCAAAAGCACTTGTTTTTATTCTGGTTGTAACTTGTATTAAAGAGTAAAACGTTTACTACGTAGTTTGATGTTTACATTATCAGTTTTTATTAATCATTAAAAACCAATTTGTCGTCATTACATAGTGAATATGGATTATATTAAGTCGCAGTTGATATAAAGTCGATTTCAACTGAACTCCTAATTTTGTGGATGGAATGAATTTAATGTAAATAACTAAAAATTGACAGATATTTCGTGAGAAATGATAACATGAGTTGATGATACTGTAATAGTTCTAATTTTCATATTTCCAGACCTAATAATCTTCCATCGTGACCATATTGTAAATTAGGTATGTTGATAATATTATGACATTCAAAAAGTGATTACTGATAAAAGTTTAATCCAAAACTATTTGACTTTTTTTTTGCAAAAGCGAAACTATAATAGTATTGTTAATTGATTATCGGTGTTTTTATGTTCGTCTAAGTTACTTTAAGAAGTGAACAATTATTATTTTGATAAGTTACTTGCTATTTAGTATTTACTAGCTTCAGTATTGCTGATTTAATTAAATTTATATTATTATTTGTTTATATTTATACTTATGGCACCCTATGACAAAACAAAGTGGGTGTTAGAAACATCTGACATGTTTTATATAATGTAAGCAAATTATAGGTTAGGGAATAATACAAAACAAAGTTTTTTATTATTATGCATGGCATTACAGTAACCTGTTGTTTATTCTTAAATGTAAAATTTAATTTTCCATTTATTATTTTTTTAAATATCAGTATACTTTTTTTAAAGTAGGTATTTATGTGAATTTATATTGACATGTTGATGTTGGTAATTGTGAATATGTGTGTTTATTTCAAGAAAATTGTATTAATCTAATATAATATGTGTTTTGTAAATAGCTTCTCATGTTTTTATTATTGAAACACATATTTCAAGTATTTCTTCTTATCAAAATTCTGCTTTACTAAAGAAAATCTGTTAGTTATGCTGTTAGTAATTATGTGGATCTTTTTTTTTTTGTGTACCCATCAAATGATAACTACTAAACTATAATTTTATTTGAAAAGTGCTATATCTTTTCAGTTCAGATGGTGGATGACTTTTTTTAAAATAATGTTTGACAAGTATAAATTATAAGTGCGTTTGTATTAAAAAACAAGCAAGTAGTTGCGTGTAAATCATTTCTGGCATGTGTTTCAAAAAATAATTAAATTATAACAAATTTTAAGTAAATTGGTGAGCTCTATATTCTTTAGCTGAAATATTTTATCTGTGCTACTGTGTTTATTTTTGAACCAATTGAACCGTGAACCAATTGACCGAGTATACATTAACATTAGGAACGACAATTTCGACAAAATTGTCCGAACAAGGTACCAGCGTGGACGTGGTTGATCTCGAAATAAAAACCATCAGCAAATATTTCTCGCAAGTATATAACAAGAAAATAACTGGGTTTAACTACAACTATTGCAACTTTCCGAAAAATAAAAAATGGCGTTCAAACATATTGAGGAATAATTTTATCGAAGGCAAAGAGCAATCAGCTTATACCGCCGGAAACTACCATGTTGCAATATGTCGTAGACGAAATCGATTCCTACTGTCTACGCCACCCGTTTCTTTTCCATTATCCATTATTACTATTATTTTCGTTATCTAATCTAAAATTGTATCCCCGACGTTTCGGCGATAATAAAGCGGCGGTTTCCGTCACCGAACACAAGTCCTCCCTGGCAAAGTTCGACACAGAACACGAGTCCGTCACTTTATTATCGCCGAAAGGTTGGGTATAAGAAGCTGAATGACCGACGGTCAATCATCCAGTCGTATACTTGCCTTGTAGTAAGACCCACCCGCGGCAGACTTGCGCTTGGCAGTAAACTGACTTCTCCCATTGTCTCCGGGAGCTCGTTGTGCGGTTGGTGCGTCGACCAGTGGTGTAATAGTCGGAGTGATTCTGGCATTATATCGGTCGTCGCACACGTCGCATCCTATGGGGTAATAGTCAGAGTCATTCCGGCATTACACCGGTTGTCCGACTGTCCGACGCAGCTCTCCCATCGTCCCGTCAGTACGACCAACGTCGCGTTTATTTTATTTGTCGTTATTATTTACGTGTCTTTTTTTTTTTTATGTCTTAAATCAACTTTTATGCATTGTCATTCATCGTTCATGTTAATAAAACATTTTCTGTCACTGCAACAACTGGAGCGTTATTAAAACCTACCTAGTTACTAACATACACTATCACCTACAATCTTAAACATTTGGTCCTTCGGGCCGGATACAACAGAACAAACCAAGACCTTACCAGAAATCTACCGTCTTCTACATACAGTCCACTCAACTTGCATCGCTTCAACAAGTAATGCCATGAAACCATCCTTCAAAAACCCCAGTTCAAGAACTAACCATCGTCAATCGACCAGAGTTCTAACTACAACGGTGGCACAGACGCCCAGCACCAAATGTGCATTATGCAAAGCGGTCCATTCAATACGTCAATGCCCAACGTTTCTTAAGGACTCTCCTACTGAACGGTTTCAAGTAACAAAGTCGTTAAATCTCTGCATAAATTGTTTAGGCGCTGGTCACTCGTCAACATCATGTCCCTCAAAAAACACGTGTAAAAAAACGTGTGTCGGAAACATCATCACTCACTACTTCATTTTCACGAAAAGACGCCATCAAGTGACGATACTGTTCCACCAACCTCAATGGTAGCGACACATCCTCGACCACGATCTGTTCTACTATCAACCTTACTGGTCAATATCTCGTCGATAAACAAGGAAACCTATACTTTCTGAGCACTATTGGACACCGGATCCCAGGTCAGCTTTATAACAAAAAATTGTGCTGATCGCCTGTCACTAACTCAACGCCGCTGTTCGTCTAAGGTAAACACTTTCTCCGGGATGTCAGTAAACGCAGTGTCTGGCATAACATCAATCGAGCTGGTACCAGTGGGTAAAACTGAGCCCCGCATCTCGCTCGATGTCATTGTGGTTAACAAAATTACCGATGCAACACGGCAGTCAAGTCTTTCGTTCACTTCATAGTCCCACATCAGCAACTTGGAATTAGCAGATCCGAAATTTCATCTTTCTGGTCCAGTTGACATCTTATTAGGAGGTGATGTCGCACCAACCATACTGACTGGCACCCGCGTCGCAGGGCATCCATCAGAACCAACAGCCTTTGGTACCATATTTGGATGGATTTTGATGGGACCAATATCACAAACATCCATCAAACCAGCTACCTCATTGTTAGTGACCACAACCGAAACACTAGAACAATCGCTAACACGGTTTTGGGAGATGGAGGAGGCACCAAAGGTACACCACCTTAGTCCTGAAGAAGTTCAGGCGGAAACCATCTTTACATCTTCAATACAACGCCTAGCCTCTGGACGGTTCAGTGTTGCCATACCATTCAAACATCCCCGTCCATTACTTGGAGATTCCAAATGTGGAGCGCTTAGAAGATTTCATGCTCTCGATCGGCGTCTGTCTCAAGATTCAAATCTGGGCAGTCAATACGCAGATTTTATGCGAGATTACTTAGAAAGTAAACACATGGAAGTGGTTCCTGCAAGCAATAAAATTACTCCGTATTGCTATTATATACCGCATCATTGTATCCTTCGTCCGGAAAGTCAAACTACAAAACTTCGTGTAGTTTTCGACGCCTCAGCTCGAACTACCACTGGGCAGTCATTGAATTCCAGCGAGTATTATCATTCATGACTTTTAAATACTATTAAAATATATCTTAATTTGAATATAGTAATAAAATAATGAAATACTTTATACGAATTTAGAGCTACAAAATTATAAGCTAAAAAATTAAAATTAGGACGAAAAAGCTACTAAATAAATATTTCTTATAAATTTCAACTCGATCCGACTGTTTTTCTCGAAGCTATAGCCAGTAAAAGTTCTAACTTAAAAACTCGTACGGTTTTTTTTTTTGTTTTTTCAACTTTCGCCTGTGAAGAGTTAAACTTTTTCAACTTTTACCCTAAGAATTGAGAACTGATAACAAATTCGTAATCACCGACCCCAAAAACATATAATTTGACCCCTTTTAATGCCTTTTTCACAAAAATCCAGAAAAATGTTTTAGCTTCGATGCAAAGCGAGAAGGTATTGGTTTTACTCTGATGTATGTTTTTTTTTTATCTGTATACACTGTAACTTCTTTAATACTGGACCAATTCCTTCGAATAGCAACTCTATAAATCGCAATTTTCATCTAGTTGGTACTTTGGGGGGGTAAAAGTTGTAATAGCCGGAAAACTGTGTTTTCGCAGATTGCGTATATTTTAACAAAAAACACTTAAAATCTTAAAAAAATTGTTATCAAATCATTAAAACAATTTTATGTAGATCTATGCAGAATGATACTATTGAGTTTTGTGCTCAAGTAACACTTTTGACTTTAAGTTGACACAAAGTTCAATTTTTTTTTTTTTTTTACTTAAGTTCTTTCTGGCTGATTAAAATTGAGAACTGATAACAAATTCGTAATCACCGACCCCAAAAACATATAATTTGACCCCTTTTAATGCCTTTTTCACAAAAATCCAGAAAAATGTTTTAGCTTCGATGCAAAGCGAGAAGGTATTGGTTTTACTCTGATGTATGTTTTTTTTTTATCTGTATACACTGTAACTTCTTTAATACTGGACCAATTCCTTCGAATAGCAACTCTATAAATCGCAATTTTCATCTAGTTGGTACTTTGGGGGGGTAAAAGTTGAAAAAGTTTAACTCTTCACAGGCGAAAGTTGAAAAAACAAAAAAAAAAACCGTACGAGTTTTTAAGTTAGAACTTTTACTGGCTATAGCTTCGAGAAAAAGAGTCGGATCGAGTTGAAATTTATAAGAAATATTTATTTAGTATGCCCGCGCACGTCAGTTATATCAAAATTGAATTTAACCCAATGCCCACCCCCCTAGGGGGGGTACAGGTTTTTTTGTTTTTCGGGGTTTTTAGCCGTAGTTTTAAGACCTTTGGGTTGAAAATTTGCCAGTAGTTGGAACTCATATGTATCCATAACATATTAAACGGAAAAATAATTCGGCACTACAGTTTTTTTTTAATAGCCGGAAAACTGTGTTTTCGCAGATTGCGTATATTTTAACAAAAAACACTTAAAATCTTAAAAAAATTGTTATCAAATCATTAAAACAATTTTATGTAGATCTATGCAGAATGATACTATTGAGTTTTGTGCTCAAGTAACACTTTTGACTTTAAGTTGACACAAAGTTCAATTTTTTTTTTTTTTTTACTTAAGTTCTTTCTGGCTGATTAAAATTGAGAACTGATAACAAATTCGTAATCACCGACCCCAAAAACATATAATTTGACCCCTTTTAATGCCTTTTTCACAAAAATCCAGAAAAATGTTTTAGCTTCGATGCAAAGCGAGAAGGTATTGGTTTTACTCTGATGTATGTTTTTTTTTTATCTGTATACACTGTAACTTCTTTAATACTGGACCAATTCCTTCGAATAGCAACTCAATGAATCGCAATTTTCATCTAGTTGGTACTTTGGGGGGGTAAAAGTTGAAAAAGTTTAACTCTTCACAGGCGAAAGTTGAAAAAACAAAAAAAAAAACCGTACGAGTTTTTAAGTTAGAACTTTTACTGGCTATAGCTTCGAGAAAAAGAGTCGGATCGAGTTGAAATTTATAAGAAATATTTATTTAGTATGCCCGCGCACGTCAGTTATATCAAATTTGAATTTAACCCAATGCCCACCCCCCTAGGGGGGGTACAGGTTTTTTTGTTTTTCGGGGTTTTTAGCCGTAGTTTTAAGACCTTTGGGTTGAAAATTTGCCAGTAGTTGGAACTCATATGTATCCATAACATATTAAACGGAAAAATAATTCGGCACTACAGTTTTTTTTTAATAGCCGGAAAACTGTGTTTTCGCAGATTGCGTATATTTTAACAAAAAACACTTAAAATCTTAAAAAAATTGTTATCAAATCATTAAAACAATTTTATGTAGATCTATGCAGAATGATACTATTGAGTTTTGTGCTCAAGTAACACTTTTGACTTTAAGTTGACACAAAGTTCAATTTTTTTTTTTTTTTTACTTAAGTTCTTTCTGGCTGATTAAAATTGAGAACTGATAACAAATTCGTAATCACCGACCCCAAAAACATATAATTTGACCCCTTTTAATGCCTTTTTCACAAAAATCCAGAAAAATGTTTTAGCTTCGATGCAAAGCGAGAAGGTATTGGTTTTACTCTGATGTATGTTTTTTTTTATCTGTATACACTGTAACTTCTTTAATACTGGACCAATTCCTTCGAATAGCAACTCTATAAATCGCAATTTTCATCTAGTTGGTACTTTGGGGGGGTAAAAGTTGAAAAAGTTTAACTCTTCACAGGCGAAAGTTGAAAAAACAAAAAAAAAACCGTACGAGTTTTTAAGTTAGAACTTTTACTGGCTATAGCTTCGAGAAAAAGAGTCGGATCGAGTTGAAATTTATAAGAAATATTTATTTAGTATGCCCGCGCACGTCAGTTATATCAAATTTGAATTTAACCCAATGCCCACCCCCCTAGGGGGGGTACAGGTTTTTTTGTTTTTCGGGGTTTTTAGCCGTAGTTTTAAGACCTTTGGGTTGAAAATTTGCCAGTAGTTGGAACTCATATGTATCCATAACATATTAAACGGAAAAATAATTCGGCACTACAGTTTTTTTTTAATAGCCGGAAAACTGTGTTTTCGCAGATTGCGTATATTTTAACAAAAAACACTTAAAATCTTAAAAAAATTGTTATCAAATCATTAAAACAATTTTATGTAGATCTATGCAGAATGATACTATTGAGTTTTGTGCTCAAGTAACACTTTTGACTTTAAGTTGACACAAAGTTCAATTTTTTTTTTTTTTTACTTAAGTTCTTTCTGGCTGATTAAAATTGAGAACTGATAACAAATTCGTAATCACCGACCCCAAAAACATATAATTTGACCCCTTTTAATGCCTTTTTCACAAAACTCTGATGTATGTTTTTTTTTTATCTGTATACACTGTAACTTCTTTAATACTGGACCAATTCCTTCGAATAGCAACTCTATGAATCGCAATTTTCATCTAGTTGGTACTTTGGGGGGGTAAAAGTTGAAAAAGTTTAACTCTTCACAGGCGAAAGTTGAAAAAACAAAAAAAAAACCGTACGAGTTTTTAAGTTAGAACTTTTACTGGCTATAGCTTCGAGAAAAAGAGTCGGATCGAGTTGAAATTTATAAGAAATATTTATTTAGTATGCCCGCGCACGTCAGTTATATCAAATTTGAATTTAACCCAATGCCCACCCCCCTAGGGGGGGTACAGGTTTTTTTGTTTTTCGGGGTTTTTAGCCGTAGTTTTAAGACCTTTGGGTTGAAAATTTGCCAGTAGTTGGAACTCATATGTATCCATAACATATTAAACGGAAAAATAATTCGGCACTACAGTTTTTTTTTAATAGCCGGAAAACTGTGTTTTCGCAGATTGCGTATATTTTAACAAAAAACACTTAAAATCTTAAAAAAATTGTTATCAAATCATTAAAACAATTTTATGTAGATCTATGCAGAATGATACTATTGAGTTTTATCCGAGAGGACTAGTACAGTAGAGTATTGGCATAATGTAATCAAAGCAATGAGGAAACGGAGAGGTCACAGGTCTACAAGAATTATTATAAATAAAAGTGATAAAATTGAATAAAATCGCTTTCAAATAAACGCTTTGATGCTCATTTGTAAATACAGAACCTTCATTTAAAACTTTCTAACTTTGCTGGTTTATACTGTGCTTGGTTTGGACTGTACTGGCTTGAAAATACTAACTACCGATTTGCATCGAAGCGTTTTTTCGAAAGTGATTTTATCACTTTCAGATTTAAAAATTCCTGTAAACCTGTGACCTCCCCGTCCCCAATATGCCCCGACCCAACTATGCTCCGTCCCCACTATGCCCCGACCCCACTGTACTGTTTTTTTTTTTTTTTGCAAAAACTTAGTGGACCAAATAACACATATACAATGTCTTGTTATATTTTGTTGGAATGGTCGACGATTCATGTTTCAATCGTTTGTACTCCATAGTTTAAATTATAATCGCTTATTCTCAATAAAATTAATATTTATGTATTATATACTTCCATTAAAGCAATCACACACAAACTATTTATACTTCACAGATTATATTATTTCAAAGCTATATTATACTTCTATTTTACTAGATTGACAATGTACAAAATAAAATGCAACTAAAAAAACCTTTTCATAGATCCTTAAAATGTAAAGGGTGGGATAGTGAAACGGATTTTACCATTTAAATACATTAGAAAATCGCCGTTTTACTGCCTCATCCTGTATAATAATTTCTTGTTATTTTCTAAAGAAAAATCGATTTTCTTACATTTAAATTAAAATAAATCGTATACTGCTACTGTGATGGAGAAAACAATAAATTTTACCTACATTTATTACTTATTAGTTAAATATTACTAAACTGACAACTACTAGACTGGCAACTACCTACAAATGTCATCACCCCCCGACCTCTCTCTCACACTCCATGACCGGCTCGGGCCGATAAGGGGTTTTTCGTTCCCACCTGTACCGTGTACATAAGACGGTGGACAGTTGATAACGCGATCGGGCGTTTATATGGTCACGATCAAATATTATTTTGTCTCGAAAATTGATAATTACAACAA